TTTACAAGAATTGGATTTAATTATTTCTGGATAATAAGCATCTCCAGCACTGCAGAGCATTTTTTCTCGTGCGTGAGATGCCCACAAGCTATCTGACATTCTTGTAGAATAGACCATTGAAAGAAATGGTCAGAAATATTTATCTTCACAATGAATCTTTCAGCTAACAAGAGTGCACAGAGACAATTTCTTTTATGAGCAAGTTAGGAATCCTGCCTCAAGCGTGGTGTCATGTTTTTGGTATTAGCGTTGGCACTTTATGATCCAAATATTTTAATAAGTTATTTTGGGGATTTAGGGAGTGGGTGAAGTGTTTTTTAGTTCTTGCCTCGGTCACTTCTGCTGATGGAGCATTGTGCAGTGCTGACCTATTCTCTTATTAGAAGAGATGGGACATCTGGTGGGACCAATTCCTCACTGGTACCTTTCGTCGGCTGATATCATCAGAGCAGTCCCACGACCAAACGCATCTCCTCTTATTGATGGAGGAAGTTAGCTGACGGCAATAGAAATTTGGTGGTGGAAAATTGGGAACAAAATAATAATAATATAATAATAATAATCGAAATGAAGAATGGGATTTGCCTTCAGATTAATTATTTAAGCAATGTCAAGAAGACTAGGAAAAAAATGAAGATAAAGAAGCGAGTTGTTCAGATCTGGAACATATTGCCTGAAAGGGTGGTGGAAGCCGATACAATAATAACTTTCAAGAGGGAAGTAGATAGATATTTGGAGAGGACAAATTTGCAGGGCTATGGGGAGAGAGCGTGGGAGTGGGATTAATTTGGACAGCTCTTTCAAAGAGCCAGCATGGATATGCTGGGCCAAATGGCCTCCTTCTGCGCTGTATAATTCAATGATTCTATGAAAGAAGCTTGTCAAGTTAGCATTTGCAAAGTACGGTTGCTCAAAACTTATCTGAACATCACTCATGATTAAGACTGCTGCAGTGCTATAGGGAGATCAGTAGAGACTTGATCTGAGCCTGTTCTGTGATGGTTTTTCACAGATCCCTGCATATGCCTCATATGTCATGTTTTCATCAGATTTCAATGAATCTCGGTTGCAACTTCAGATAGCTTTAAGAACTGTAGGCACAAGCGTAGCTCCCTTTGTAATCTGTTGTGTAGTCTCTTTGCTTTTGATCCTGTTCTGCATTTTAGCAATCAATAATTACTTGATTTCAAAGGCTTTTTTTTGGTCTTTCATCATATTTGACCCTTAATTTGGACATTCATAGGCAGTTGCACTTGTGTGATCATTACCTTGATGAAATGAATGTAGAATGCCGTTGCTTTTGTTCTAGATGAAAGCCATGTGCTATTTTATAGACATGACTCATCTGGAATAAGAGGGCTGGCAGAATTTGGCAACAAATAAAACAATAACAATTTAAAAATGCAGCAACACTGGAAATAATTAGGTGGAAACCAGATGTCTGAAAGAAACATGTTTTTAAAGGACCATTCTTTATGATGAAGGTTTGGCAAATGTATTTTTGGGGAGCGGTGGGGAGAAGAAAAATGCAATGGCTCATTTCTGTCATTCCGCTTGCGTTTGATGGGATTTGCATTATTTTGTGTCACGTGTCTGTAAACAAATGAATGAAGGTTTTGCCAAAGCATTTTTCCATAAAGATAACGCTCCCTTAATCTCACTTTGCCTTTTGAAAATGATGCAACCATTGCAAGCTGAACACAGTGGCTATTTGGGTGACATAACATGTTTGCTAAAGCAAACTACTAGAAACACTAAGCATCATTCGCACTTCATGATATTAAAAAAATTGCTAACTAATCCTTCAAAGCTATTCAACTATTTCAGTCTTCCCATCAGATGCAACTACATATTTTGATAAATAGGATAAATGGCTGGTAAATAAAAGCAAGGGATTAATCTTGAAAAGTAGTGCATTGGCTGAATTTTTATTTCTGTCTTTCCTTTTCTGCACCCCACCTCACCTGCACCTGCAAAAGAAAAGCACCCACCATTCAGATTTGAATTAGATTCAACATTTTGCAGAAAACAATCTTGTGTCAGAATTTTGGTGCAGTCAGTCAACACACTACCCTTTCAATTGTAGATCCGGATTTGAATCCAGCCCAAATTAATGGGTTGAGGTTTCCTTGCTCCACTGGTTGTAAGTGATCTGTGTGAAATGATTCCAGACAGTCTCACCTCAGCATAAAATTGGCTGTAAATTGACAGTTTTAATCAGCCACACTATGGAATGAATGGTGCATGAAATGAAAAATCTACTGTGTTGGATTAGGAGATGGTCTTTTAAGGACTCGTGTGGAGTATAAACACAGGCATGGATTAGTTCAACCGAGTGGCCTATTTCCGTGCTATACGTACTTTGTTTTTGCTCACAAAACACATATTGCACTTTACAGCATATTCTGTGAAACGGTTTGGGACATCCTCCTGATGTATAAGGCACTGTACAAAAGGGAATATTATAATAATAATAATAATAATCCTTGCATTTGATATAGCGCTTTTCACGTCGGGAGGACATCCCAAAGCGCTTCACAGAATATACTGTAAAGTGAATTGACTGTATATTTGTGGGCGAACGCGGCAGCCAATTGCGCACAGCAATGTCCCACAAACAGTCGTAGATTGAAAATGACCAATTTATTATTGTTTTGGGTTTTTGGAGGGATTATTATTAGGCTCTGTGTGGAGTAAGGAAACTTGCCCAAGGTTTCGCCCTCTGCCTGGAATTGAACTCAGGTCTCTCACTTGCAAAGCGAGTGCTCCAACCACTGAGCTACAGGACTCCACACTCCTGTAGCTACAGGACTCCACAGACTCCAATATTATTAATATTAACAACACTTTATTGGAACAATAAAAGAAAAACGAGCTTTCCTTTTCACCTGGTTCTGCTATGACTGACCTGGGAACACTTGATGTTGAGTCCCCAACATGGGTGCTGAAGATATTTCAATTATTCGAATGAGCTCTGTAATTGGGCACTAATATTTTCATATTCTTAATAGTAATTATAATCCTTGCGTTTGATATGGAACCCTCCACGCAAGAGGAAGTTTCAAAGCACTTCACAGGATTTACTGCAAAGTGTATTTTGTAGGCAAATGCAGCAACCAATTTGTACACAGCAATGTCTTGCTAATAGCCACAAAGCGAATGAATGATTCTGTCCAGAAGATTGTTGGACTGTAAAGTGTAGTGACAGTATTTTGTAGGTAACCGTGCTAGTACTCTCAAAGTTGCTGCTATTTGATATTGCTGCTATTTTTTGGCGAGCTCCTGTATATTTTTCCTTAGTTTCTTTGGCATAACTGGCCCTTTATATTTCACACAATTAAAGAATGGCACATTGGAAAATTGATTATGTATTAAACGGCTGTCAACAAACAGAAAATATAACCCCCCGACCCCTTCCCTCATAGAATTTAATTATTAATAAGGGGAACTGCATCATTCATTCTCTACATTTTTGCTTCAAAGAGAATTTTCAATGCCCTTGTAGCTATTCATTCAGGTGCCTAAGTGTGCATCTCATTAATATTTAGATAATATCAAAATGAGCCAGACCAGACTTTTTGAAGATATTTAAGGTGCAAAATCCTGCAGTTTTCCAACAGTGACTAATTGTAGTTTAAAGTGATTTTATGTGACATAGGCTGACGCCTTACTAGAATATTTGCAAAAAAACAAGCAATTGGTGCATTTTCTATTCTATAAAGTTTTAAACTCTTTATACTGAGTAACAGAAGCAACAACAAAAACAATTTTGGAAATCCAGAGCAGCATCTGAAAGAGATATGTTTTGGGTAAGGCTCCCTCAGAAAATCTGATAGCTTTGATCTTGTGCAGTTGCACCAGTTTCTTGTGATTGCTCAAAACAGAAGCAGACATTAAGAAGATCATTCCAAACAACATTGTTGGATGGAAAGAACTTCTGCACACAGAGAACAAAGTGTGAAACTTCCCGTGATACTTGTCCATCCCAAAACACTGATGTTTTGAAGAGTACAAGCTTTGGTAGTTTATAGTCCTAAAGATCATTGTGTGGAATGTTCTTCACTTCTTTTAAAAAAAAGTGTTGAGCCTGTTTTTGCTGATTATTATTAATATTTGACCAGGAGGTGATTTTTGTGGATCTGTTGCCATGTCGTTCTTTTTTGTGTGGAGAAGGCAATGAGTGTATGTTCAAAGTTGAAATAAACACTAAAAGTAGTGTACCAAGTTTCAACATATAACCAATGCCATTTCTTTAAAATTAAACCTGTATTATCTTTTGTAGCTATTACAGTAAGGCACTGTACCAAAGATTATGATAAAAATATAATTTATAAGATAAATTAAACTTGGACCTAATGCTGTTGAACCATCTAACACTATCATGCTTTGTTCTACATTATGTGGAAGATTTTCTGCTGGTGATATGCTGCACAGCACTGGTAACTCATGCAAGCTCATTTACATCCATGTCCTGTCACACAGGACATTTGGGATCAAGGTACCTCAGGAATAATGATTATATTTGAAATAAATTAAATAATTGTTCTTCTTAATCAATGCATTCGTATTTTAAATTATGTAGAACATGAATTAATGATGACTAAACCAAGAGGTCATTATAATCTTGAAGTTCAAGGAATTTCGCAGAAGTGACTGAATACAATTTGTGCCCCATTGTATGAAGTTAAACCCATCACTCCAGCAGTTTAGTCAGAATTCAGAGGCTGCTCTGACCCATACAATCTGTTTTTTTACAGTAATGTGCCCAGTGCTCACATGTGAAAATGATTTATGGAAACAGTTGGTGTCGCAATGTGTCCATATTAAAATATAAATTGAACAAAAGTTTGGAGGAGAGATGTTTGCACAAATCTTTCAATGCAACTAACGAACATATTTACACTCTTGAAAGAGTGCAGAAAGATCACTTCTTTCCAATAGAACATTTTTAGTACCAATAAAACTTGTATTAAAACCTTCATTTTGTTTTTTTTAAACAGGAACATTTCACACCTGAATGCAAGTTCAAGGAATCGGTATTTGAAAACTACTATGTGACATATTCATCCATGCTATACAGACAACAGCAGTCTGGTAGGGGCTGGTACCTGGGTCTTAACAAAGAGGGAGAAATCATGAAAGGAAATCACGTGAAGAAAAATAAACCAGCGGCCCACTTTCTCCCCAAACCATTAGAAGGTAAGATTTCGGAGATTCTATTTTTCCAGCTAGCTCTTAACGTTAATGACAGATTTTATCAGTTGGTCATTGTTGAAATGGCATTAATACATTTGAGTAGATGCAAATGATTACTTAGCGCTTTTCATATGTGTACAATCATCATCAAATATGTATTTTGTGCAGCATTTTTGACAGTCACCTTTGATTTTTGTTCCCTAAAATGAAGCAAATCAGTAATTATTATGGACAAGCAATTGCACTACAAGTCCAATTAAGAATATTCTCAACATTAGAGGTCAATGCAGAAGCTGCACAACGCTGTATTGTTATCAGGCATCTAAAACATTTGGTGGTGATTACACCGAGTATTTCGCATCTGTATTCAATAAAGTAAGATTAGATATTCATTATTAAAGGCAATCATGTCAATAGATGAAATGTCATTGTCTGAATAGAATAATGCAACCTTTAGGATCTGTTCAGTGATGGTTAATACCTTATTTCCATAAACAGCTTCTGCTGGAGACTGACACTCAATTTGCTTATCAATATGTGGTATGAATTTCATCAGTTCTAGCCAGACCACTGCTGTGTTCTCAGCCTTATCTGACGTTCTACCTGCCAAAATGTACAAGCTACAATGAGTCTGTGATTCAATTCCCTACACTGTGGACAAGAGCATTAAAAAGAAGCCACAGTCAGGGCTGTGTCTAATTCCTGTCGTCCTCCATACTGTGTGTGGGATCTTAATCATATGCATAATGTCTAATACTGATATACACGAAGAGCACAGCCCTCATTCAGGATCCTGCAACATTCCAGTATTAATCAGTTTCATTGGTGTAGCTTTCAGTTATTAAGTCCCCGATTCATACAGTGAAGTACAAGTACATAGCAGTGTTGTAAAACTATTGAAAACTTGATGAACACATTTGATAGGGCTGCAGTGTACCTTTCCCTTAAGATTCAAACTTAGATGTAAACATTCAAGTGATCAAAACTTTTTCTCTTTTGACTTCCAGTTGCCCTCTACCGAGAACCATCACTTCATGAGCTTGCAGAAGTACTGTCGAGGTCTGGAACCCCCACAAAAAGCAGAAGTGCTTCTGCAGTTCTAAACGGGGGGAAAACGGTGAGTCAGACTGAATCAACGTAGCCAGATCAAAGCACATTCTGTGTCAAGAAACATCACATACGGATGCTGTTGACTTATTACTAGCAGACACTCTCCTTCTGTTGTAAAATGATTCAGGAAAACCACTGAACTGCGTAGGTCATCCTCGTATCAATCAGCCTTTAGGTCTTCTGGTTGTCAGTGGATAAATCCCAATAATGTAGCTGAGAAAACGCTTGTGCATCTCACCTGGATAGCCAATGAAACCTCATTCTGCAATGTGGTACTGGAGAAGAAATGCCCTTTGTTCTGTCACCTAATGTTTTATGGAAAAAGAAACCAATCTCACAGCTTTACCGCCAGCTGAAAACAAATCATGTTTCAATAATGAACAAAACACAAGACCACATTTCCTCTTTATAGGAGAAATGCTGGTACCTTTGGGTTTTACTAAAGGGGTCAAGAACACATAAAATAATTCTGTTTTGTCCTTGGCTCACTGCTGTGCAATCCCAGCAGACACATTCATTCTTTTTTTTCTTTTAATCTCAAATGGTAGTGTTTGCTATACTCTAATTATACACAAATTTTGTACTCCAGTGGGCCTTTAAAGATTCATGGGTAGGAATCTCTTCAAAAATAATCAGGGTTGCTAAAGAACTAATAGGAAATGAGTTGGTGTCTCAGGCTAAGTATGTAATGCTAAAATATGTAATTTTAAACAATTTGAGGAAAGGGTTTATAGATTTGTAGTAATTGTCTTGCCCCTATTAACACTGTACCATTGGTTCACAATTTCCACCCTTGTGGTTCTCTCTACTCACTTTTGTGCATTGCACATTGACTCTATTGTGGTGATTTTTATTCTTAAAGAAACTGTGGAATCTCGGGTGACTTCATTTTTATAACGAGAAAATAAAAGTCTTATTTGTAATGGTAAAACCAGTCATTCTTTTCTTGTACTGGGCTTGTGAAAGTCGTTTGTGTATGAAGTTCCCTTTCATCAATTCAGCCTAAATGATTCATTCTAGTGCATACAACAGGGCAATTATTGTTATTTGTAAGTTAGTTTTTTTTCATTTAAATGATCATATCTGTTGCATGGGAGAAAGCTGGTAATAATGGAATAGAGTTGCATGATCTAGAACATGTGTATTAAACATATTGAACAATGTGCTCCAAACTTTACATGGATATAAGTACAAGCAGTTTTCCTGTTTTGTACTGTTCAGTTTATTATTTGTTGTATACACCAACAGATGCACTGAATAAAATATTTATATGAAGGTATGCTTTTAAAGAGTGTGTTGATTTGTCTGTGTGTTTAAATGTCTTGACTACAGTGTTTTGTTGCACCCTAATATGTTGTGTCGTGGGGAAAGCAGCTGAAATATAGCTCCATACAATGCTAATGCATTATCATAATGTGAAACCATTTTTATAATACCTGTTAATTTACTGTAGGGCATTACAATGCAAAAAACATTGAAAGGAACTAGCAAATGCTATCAGCTTATCAATTATCCCAGAAGACACAGTGCAACATTTGAGTATTTTTTCCCTCAACCATAATCAGTGCATGGATAACTATGAAAATAAATTACAAATATAACTAAACTTTTATCTTTTGAAAATTGAGTTGCAATTTTTCTTGTAATATCATATTGCTTATCAAATAAAGTTTAGAAACGACAGCCTATAATATGAATAATAGCGAACTAAATCAAGCAATTTGCTTTTATTCAAATTTGCCAATGAAATTATATTTTTCCCAAAAAGGGCCAGATCTTTCGAACTTAGGATTTTGTATAGCTTTAGAGTCCGTTAGTAACCTTAACGGCTGCTTACTATATTAAACCCTGTAAATCACTAGTGACTGGGTAAGTATAGTATTATAATGGGCTATTTATATTCTTCATGGAAAGCAAGTAGCGACTAGTAGCACTAGCGGTGTAGAATCACAGGTACGATACTTACACAGGTAAGAATTAACATTTGCCGATTGTTGTAAAAAAGAAGCTATAATATAATATAATAGCAGCACATAAATATTTGAAACTTGAACCTAAAGGACACCATTATTGCTTTCTTTGAGGGGAGGGAGAGCATATCGTGCCTGTCAGTGATACATAATGAAATGTTTTTTTTTCATTTTTGTCACCCAATATCAGGATCAAACATTCCCAGAACAGTTATAGCTTGGTCAGATGCAGAGTAAAGCTCCCTCTACTCTTCCCCCAACAACATGCTTCAGTCCCAACTTCAGAAGCGCACCAGCCACTGGATCAGTGTGAATTTTTCTTCTTTCCACGCCAGACAGACATCCTTATGATCGTCGTGATCAACATTACCAATATTTGGTAAATTGTAAGGAGTTTTATAATATCGGCCTTAACAAGGTACTGGTTAAGAACTGCCCAAACTTATTTCAAATAGGACACAAAGAGCAAAGAGAACTTTGACTCAAAGCCAAGATATGAAAAAGCAGTATTGAACCTTGCACCACTCCATTACACAATGATGCTAATTTCAAATATTTATATTTTTTGCAGTTTTCATGGTATGAGTAGGATAACATTAAATAGGATTAACAACAGCTTGAGCAGAACTGAATGGATGCATTACATTATGGAGATATATATGTCAATTATGTGTTGCATACAGTCTGCTATACACCACAGAACTCATTACACGGCACTAAAGTTGGTTTTAGAAGCGCTCAAAGTTGAGCTAAAAAAAAAACACGTTCTCCTGAGTCACAGGTTTCTGTAAATGGTTGAATGTTTGGCTTTAATGATGGAAATTGCATGGTTAATCCACTCCTGGAATAAATTCACCCGCATCCAATGCCTATTCTCTTGTTAACCCGCAGTAGTTGTAACAAACCATGGATTCCACATGTTCTATAAATGCAAAATATACAGCCAATAATAATCGCCCTCGCCATATTTCTGATTATTTTTATTTTTATCTACCCTTTGCCTTTAAAATACTTTTGTCTTTCACTTTTTTCTCTGCTACCTCTTTTCAAGTATTACTCTTTCCATTTAAACATCCCCTCCCTATATTACTTGTAATCAATCTCATTCTTCCTGCCTTTTGCCTAATTTCACTAATTGTCCAAAAAACACTGACCTTCACAATGAACTCAAGGCACCAATAATTCACTAAACATATCCGTATTTCTGTCTTTCTGTCCTCCTAGTTTATAATACCAGCTGTTCTGACCTAGAAATTTCCTCAATAAATTGCTGAGGCTACAGATAACCTTTACAATGCTGGAACAACCAGAACACAACAGCAGCAGTGATTAAATATCATTTTATTTAAAAAAAGAGAAAAGGTAGTTGTCATTTACTAGGTACACTATTTTGGATCTGTTGAAGGGTCCAGAATGAGGAGTGACATCTGAGGCAATACAACGGCAGATAGTTGGCACATATGCATGTAGACACAGTACATAAAACAATACTGTTTTATCTGCCTTAAAAGAAGATGATTTATTTTCAGCAGTTAAGGTTTCATTTTGTTACTTTGCTTTTCTGAGAATATTCAGGTATGTTTTTCCCATTCATATTTTTATATGTTCTGATCTTTATCTATTTTGCCTGATGACTGTAGCTCAGAGAGTAGAAAAATAGATGGTTAATGATTGGGAGCACTGAGTAACCTTTGCACAAAGCTCTCCATTTGGGTGCAGCACCAGATACACCAGAACTTCCAATGCAGGAAGTGTTTTTCCTGTCTCTTTTCTCATCCTCATGTTTATTGGTGGTTGCATGTGATGATATTTTTTTTTCCTGATAGTTTTAGGAGGTATTAATGTCATCTTAAGTTACATAATGAGAGTGGGAGGGAATTCTATTCAGAGGGGTAGGTCTTGATTTGCTTGCAGGGTGAGAATTAAATTAATGTTAGTACTGCAGTTTCGCCCACAAAATATATAGTCAATTCACTTAATAGTATATTCTGTGAAGTGCTTTGAGAAGTCTCGAAGACATGATAAGGTGCTATATCAAATATTATTATTAGTATCATCACTTGGTAATCATTATGCCCAGATTTTTTAATCCATGTTGAGGTGAAAATGGAAGCAATTTCATATTAGATTGTATTTAACAGTAATTTAAATGGTCAAAAAAATGTCTATTCGTAAATTAGATTTCAATCTTTTGCAATACAATGCAGATTTATGGGATGTTGTTTATTTGGATCAATGTTAACATTACTGTGGGTAGTGAGCAGTAAGGAAAATGATTTTTACAAAGGGCAAATATGCCTTGGTAAAGATTAAATACAGATGCTATTGTATGGCCTGCAACTGATGTAGCTCTGGATTGCTACTAGGGTTTAACCTATTAAGTAACCATCTCATCAAAGTATTCATACAATCCCCTTAATATTTGTTCAGCATTAACAGCATGGGCAATTACTGAAATATCTTAATCCTTACATATGTAAGATGTATGTTACTGTTCTTTTCAAATTATCCCCCAAGGTTATAATAAATCTAGCATGGGTAGAATTAATAAATCATAGTCCAGTACTTAATTTGTGTTTTGCAATGCATAATTATAAGGAAGATAGGCTTGAAACTCCCACAGTTCAGAATTGTTCTCTTTCTGATTTGATGCAGTTAGAAATGATCTCTTCAATTAAATGATATTTCCACTGCTGCGTTTGTTTCAAAACATAGGTCTGATTGTGTGTGTGGTGTGCAAATATCAGGTAACACTAAGAATTAGCAGAAATATGTGTGAGGCATTTAAAAACTAAACTTGCTGATTCATTCTAATTGATATCCTGACAGTGAAACAACATGACCAGAATCACTTCAGGGATGGTCTCCCACACAATGGTAGGTTTTGCAAAAGAAATAGAATAACCGTTTATGATGACCAAGTATAGAAACCTCCTCAAACCATTGTCAATCCTTCTTAAATCTTTTCAGACCGATTCAATAATGAGAAATCAGTCTTAAGATGAGCTAGTCATATAGCTAGAAATAATGCAGTAAGCAGGAGCTTACTTACATCGTGGAATCTTGAAAGTGTTGCCAAATCAAGATGAAAAACAAAAGGCAGCAAGTCAAAATTGATCCATATACCAAGTCTAGAATATAAAAATTGTCAGAATTGATGAATTCTCCCTTTATAGTCTATACATTTTTTTTGAATCATTTATTTGATTCTTCCAGATGTCAAATAAAGTATCTTGTGATTTGACATGTTGACACTTTGGAACGGATGATCAGAACATTTGATAAATGTATATGTTTGTTCACCATTGCATTGCAGGCTTAAATAGAGATAATAGTAGCACATTAGTAGCACATTATAGCAACTTTAAACAAAACTCTTTCTAAAATAGATACTTGAATATGTTAACCAGACAACTTCATTTCAAATAGAATCATCATCAAAGCTACAACACAAATACAACCTAATGGTATCAGATACAACCTAAAAGCACTACCTTATCGAAGCAGAAAACAAATCAGTTAGTTGTCAAATAGTATGTTCTGCTGTCTTGAATGTTTTTGGTTCTTTCAGATGGCCATTAGTTGTTAGAGGTTTATATATTTGGCAGTGCTTTTGTGATGGATACTCTTAGAGCAGAGTTGTTCCAGATAAAATCTGAGGTCCTTTTGTTGTTTGCAGCACAGATCAGCCAGAGGCATTGACACTACCTCACTGATCATCTGCTTGAGCACTGTTAGGGATATCACGTTTTGTCTCTAGAAGGTAGAAGGTCAGAGTGATTTTCCCAAACCTCAACTACATCAGCACTCATCTACAGGAGCAGCCACCTACTGAACACTGTTGAGAGCTTCTTGAGATCTTCTATAGGCGTAAGAAAAACGATGGCTTTTCACATAGTTAGAGAACCAAGACCACATTTCTGCTTAAAACTGATGAGTTTAGTTTAGCATTTTTGAGAGTTTCAGATCAATTAATTGGATGTATTTTTCTGTTGATATCTCACTCAAATTCTTTTGATTTCCCTTCCTCTGTGTTCAGAGAGCTTAGGTTACACTATGTTTTAATAAGCTAGGTCAGTGCTAAATCAATGCTCAAATCTCTGCAATTCATTCTATTTACTTTTTTTGAGTAAAATATATTTTTTCTCATCTTCTCTGCCTCTATTTGCTCATTTTTCCCTTATTGATGTCTATCAGTTACACTTTTTTAAAAAAATCTTCTATTATCTTCCCTGTATGACTTTCATAATTCAGTTTTTCCATTTTATTCCTCCCTTTTTATTTATCATTTTTGCAACATTTTTATTTAATGTTTTTTGAACAAAGTGCAATAGTGTAACAGACAACAGTCAGTCAATGAAACCACTGACAACTTAAAAGGCAAAAATGAAATACCGAATTTGTGTAACACATCTCTCATAACCGAACAACCTTTTCTTAATTGTACCTGATTTTAGCACAGTGTGTGGTAAACAAGCAAAATATTGGGTGGGAGGCGAGGTGTCAGAAAGGCTGGAATCAACAAACATGTGTGAGGAAAACAGGGAGAGAAGCTGTCACTAAATGGCACAGGAAAGTAAGGAGAATTCGCCTCAATTCTTAGCAGAAGTATGAGGATACGCTAGATAAAGTGGAAACAAATGCTGGCACATTATAATAGGGAAAGTTGAGAATGCATTTCACATCGAATCGAGGGGGAATATGCTGGTATGTTAAAGCAAAGAGATTGGGGGTAGATGTTGACATATCGTGGTGGAGAGAATTGGAAAAGATGTTAATTAAAGCAGAGGCACAGAGAGAAATGTTGGCATACATAATGAGTTTTTGAAGGATAGCTGACTTAATATAGGAAAAAAAGTTAGAAGGAGTTAGTGGGAAATCAGAAGCACAGAAAGCAAACAAGATGCAGAGAAAAAAGCGTTGTTATTGATACTGGAGGAATTTATCAAGATATGAGAACAGATAATTTGGGGTGAAATGCTGGTATATTATAGTGGAAACAGAACGATTCAGTAGAGAAAGTAGGAAACGTCAGAATTGTCGCATTAGGGTGTCTGTACAAGAAGTACGGAGGAGCGTAAAGCCAGCACATCATGACAGAAAGAGGCAAGAGAATTTTCCTTTGATGATGAGAAGAGAGATGTGCAGTATGAAGACGGATAAAGAGATCGGAATAGATACATTGGGATGAGTAACGCTACATTGTGAGACGCAAGACAAACAGAAGCTTCATTATGTCTAAAAATGCTGAAAATGTTTTAGAATCCAGGTCAACTACCAACAGACATGTATATTGCTGCTGCTTTTGTGAATCATCGCTGATGTAGCTGTTCCCACCACCACTGCAGTACTGTTTTACATATATTCCTTACGTTTGGTCATTTATTTCTGGTAACAATGTACCCGGCATTAAAACAAAATGGGTAGATGGTTGTTATGATCATATCGTATCATGAATCATGTTTCGCCCCCTCCCCCAACAATAAGAATTGCAGAAATAGTCTAACTGATTTGTTCTGTTTCGTCAACTAATGAATTATATATGCTTGTGTAGATTTTTCCGGTCAAAGTAAATCTTTCCTCAAATTGATTCAGAAATCTACTTTGGAATCAATTTTGGGACAGACAGACACCAGGACGTTTTTATTTACTCAGAGGGCATTTATTGACTGGAACAAGGTAGCCGGCCAGGATACTGGATTCATTTAAAAGGCAGCTTGGTGTTGTGATGGAAAGACAGCAGGCTGAGTATTCTGCAGGGATTAGATCAAATGAGCCAAGGGGCCTTCTTCATCTGAACCAATCTTGTAAAATCCAACTACAACAGTATTGTGCATTTGCTCTGTGTTACAGATAAAAAACTGCAAGGCATTCAATATCTGCTAAACATATTATGCACTCAGACATCAGTGAATTTTTCTCAGGCTTTCTTCAGTAGCTTCTATTATCATGTCTCAGCATATATCCATAGATTTGCATCTGTTGCATACAGAATGGTTGAATTCCAGTCCAAATATTTTAATTTTACTTCATTTATTCTTCTTTTCAAAGTGGCATTCCAATGTCTCTTTATGTCCAAAAAAATAAACTTGCTGAAGAGCATGCTTAAATGACAGCCATAGTATTTTACTTTGTTTGGGCAGGATTAAATCCAATGTTTGCACTGTCAGTGTTAGGCTAACTAATCTATAATCTACAGGTTCATGCCTTTTTGTGAACCAGATAACATTTGTTATACTCTGGTGCTCAGGTACAGCTCTAGGGTTGAAAATATTAACCAAAGTCTCAATTATGGTCCTCATGCATTTACTTGAGTATCCCAGGATACATCTTTCTAGCCCAGTTGCTTTGTACACATTTAATCCTTTGAGTTTCTTTAGAACTAGCATTCTAGAGTGCCCAGAACTTGGCAAATTCGTAAGTAATCCTAAATTGGAAGCTAGTTTTCTGTAAATTTGTTTATGACCCACAAAAAAAATGACTCAAAATTAGGAAAGAATTCAACAATTTTCCAAGCTCTTGCCACTAGTGGTGAACTGGCTCCCGAAAAAGGCTTGGGATTGTCATGTAAAATGGGGGAGCCAATTTTTGGAGGGTTGTCGATTCCTTGGGGGAAGGGGGATGACAAAAGACATAAAACATATGCGCGTTTAAAAAACTATCAGGCTTAAATGGACAAGGCTGCAAGGCATGTAAGCATTTTTTATCTTGGAGCCATTCACAGGGCCGTTGGAGAAATTTCCCAATATCTCATATCGCAGTCTGCCCCTGCTTGCCACTGTGAAATGCTACATAAACACAGTAATAATGATAATCCTTGCATTTGGTATAGCACCTTATCACGTCTTCGAGAAGTCTCAAAATACTTCACAGAATATACTGTAAAGTGAATTGGCTGCATATTTTGTGGACGAATCTGGCAGCCAATTGCACACTGTAGCGTTCACAAACAGTCGTGGATTGAAATGACCAATTTATTA